AAGACATGTGCCTACTGGGCAGCTGGGCACTGGCTGTCATGAATGTCCTCACAGACTCCTCAGTCACACCCCTCCAGTTAGCCATGGACCTGCAGGCTCTCCCCTGGGCTGGGATACTGAGACCCTTATGTCCATGCAAAGGCTGATGGGGAGGTAGCCAGCGTCACCCACTGTGTGGTCTCTGTTGTCTGTTTCCCTGAATCCACAGGCATCAGTGAGCTGCCTGGGGTCCTCAGAGAGCACAGCAGAGAGGCCCTGACCATTCAACACACCTGGTGGCTGCTCCTGGCTCTGCTCCTGTTAGGTGGCCTTGGGACACAGCTCTTCCTACACTCTGCACAGTGGGAGGCCCCTCTGTGGAGCTGTAGGCTCCTTGCTGTGTCCAGGCGGGTGGCTGTGGCATGAGTGAGGGGACCCAGGCCAGACCCAGCATCACACATCACAGCTGAAATGAGGGGAACTGGGGCAGACCTAGCATGTCACATTACAGCTGACAGACGGCACCTGGGCCAGATCCAGCACATTGTGTATGGGACACAAGAGGCTCTGAACCAGATCCAGTACCTCACATCACAGCTGATGCGGGGGGACTTGGGTCAGATCCAGCACAACATGTATAGGATGTGAGGAGACCTGGGTCAGTCGCAGCACCTCATATCACAGCTGGCACGAGGGGGATCTGGGCCAGATTAGCTGTCATGTCACATGTATGACACAAGGCTCAGGATGTAGGGAGAAGCCATTGCACAACCAGCTGGGGCAGGCAACTCTTGTGTCCACAGCCTCTCTGGGTCTCCGACTGCCCACCTTCCTCCTTGTGTCTGGGAGCCCTAAGGTCCAGGCATCCCCATGGCAGCCCCAGACCTTGAGACTCCTTGGTGCTCAGGTGGGTCCCTCACAGTCAAGCCCTGTAGCCACTGAGGTTCCGAGCAGATGAAACCACTCACCTCTCCAGGTCCAGCTACAAGCAGCAGGAAGGAGGCAGCCTGGTGTGGCACTCAGTGCAAAGCCATCCATGGCTCTGTTCCTGGTTGGGAGGGCAGCCCCGCAGCTCAGGTGTCAGGATCTTCTGCAGTAGCCTCCTTGGGTGGGAGGGTGGGGTCTCTATCTCTCACTGCCTTGGGAGGCCTGGGGTTGGTGTTGGTCTCAGGGTTGCTTTGACCTCAGCAGCATAAGGAGATGCTCAGCTCGGGACCATGCCCATGCTTCCTCATCTCTGCTAAGTGGATGTTTGACATGGCAGCAAAGAGAAGGACACAAAGAGAAGGTCTGTTGGCACAGCAGGGAGGGTCTCCCACAGTGGGATCCCAGCACACTTGAGGGGTCCTTAGCACAGTGGGGTCCCTGGCACCTGCACAGTGGGTTCCCTAGGCACAGTGGGCTAACTAGGCACAATGGGTCCTTTGGCATTGCAGGGAGGGTCTCAGCACAATGGGGTCCCTCAGTACACTGGGAGAGTCCTCAGCACAGCAGGGCAGGTCTTGGCACAGCAGGAACCTGCAACCAGGACCAGGGCCAGGCAGTAAATATCAGAGGTGAGTACAGTAATTTTTAAGATGTTGGCTTAATGTGGGCTTCAGGACTTGAAGCAGGAAGTAGGGTATCCCCTGCTCAGCAGCTGCCCTGGGACACCCACAGGCCGCAGAGCACAACCACCTCTCTGTGTGGAGACTGCAGGGCTTTCTCTGTGACTTTGCTTCTTCCCCACGGGGTGGCATCCTCCATTAGCATGGGGACACTAGAAGCCCTCTTCTCGGGTCTACCTTGCACAAGCGCCTGCTACCGGATGATATTGGCCCCATCTCAGAAGTTTGGTACCAGCTTGTCAGTGGTACTGAAACGAGGAAACTGAATCCAGTCACAGTGTTCAGAGAGGAGGCCTTTGGGGAGTGACTGGTGGGATGACGCCTGAGGGTGGGCCTGTGACTGGTTCCTGGTGGGTTGAGGTGGTGCAGTAGAGATAGTATTGAGAGAGGTGCAGGTGCTGTAACAGGTGTGTGTCCACGGGTCACCCTCGGCCAACTCAGGGCTCTGCAACCAGCATCACAAGGTGAGCCAATGGGGCTGTCTGATCTTGCCCCGGGAGCATCAGGAAGCAGGAGCCAACATGATCCTCTCTCATGGATGAAGCCAGGCTGCCTATAACGAAACACTGCCCGACACAGAGCCGAGGGAGCCTTGTGAGAATGATTAGCTGACCGCAAGCAGGCAGCTGGAAGGGAAGTGGAGCAGCTGGGACACGCACCGGGGCCCATATAGCATCCTGGTGCATGCAAGGCGAGGACTTCAGCCACTAGGCTACTGCACTGGGCCTCTGCTTTTCTAATAAAATAAATCAGACTATAAACATTTTAAAACCAGAGTTTTTCAATTCATGTTCAGTATGCATTCCTTCATTTATTCAAATCTTTACAAATCTCCCCAAACCATGTGTTTTGTAGGTTTTCATGCACTGCTCTTTCTCAACCTGTATCAGATTCATTCTGGGTAGTTTATATCTCTGTGCTACAACATAGCATGCAAAAAGAATGGCATTGTTTCAGATATGAAGCAGAACATGGAAGCGATCAGCACATTTCATGGAATTAAGGCCAGTGCAGCCATAGTGTCGCAGACAGAAGCTCAGAAACAATCAGAAGGGGACAGAATTCTCAGGCAGGAAAATAAACAGAGCAGAGCCCAGGTGAACCAGCACACAAGGGCACATCTTCCGTGAACCCCAGCCCCTCTTAGCTGTGCTCTCACGTGAAAGGCACCAGGGACAGCCTAGGGAGAGAAGAGGCCAAGGAAGAGGCTGGAAGGAGAGTCACAATGTTGGAGGTCAGAATCTCAGAGATCCTGAGATCCGGAGATCTCAGCCTGCTGCTGAATCTTCCAGAATGTGTTGAATTTTCCTCAGCTGTTCACCCTGAGAGAGGAAAAAGCAGTTCCCCAGAGTCCAAGTGACTTGCGCCGCCGAGGGAAATGTCCCCACAATGAGCTTAGGAAGCAGAAACACTGCTGGCAGAGGCTACTTCACCACTTTGGGTCATCCTCACAGCTCCAACAGAGTGAAGGGCCAGCTGGTGCATGGCCACAGACATGGCTTCCACAACAGGAGGCACTAACCCTTGAGCAGTTATCGCCTGGGGATGCTCACTGACCAAGACACCTACAGCATAAAGAACTAACTCTAAGCCATCATTGACTAGGGCTCCTACAGCATGAAGGACTCCCCCAGGCACACTCACTGACCAGGGCTCCTACACCATGTTGGTCCAACTGCAGGGACAGGCATGCTCAAATACCCCTTCCGTTGGTACTCAAGTTATGAGTGCTCACATAGTAGACCACTCCTGAATTCATTAATGTCAGAAATTTTGCCTCCCCAATTGGGTCCCTATTCTTTTCAATAAATGAACAAATTGGGGACAAATAACTGGAAAAAGTTAATTCCCTGGTAGGTGAGCAGGGTATCAGGGTCTGGACTTCCAAAGCCACTGCCCCGCTTAGTGAGGACAGTCTGGGGTTAGAGGAGTGCAATTGGAGGAGGGGCTGTGAGTCCAGTTGAAGCTGGTTGTGAATCTGAAATTGGGTCAGTGCTTATGGGTCCTTGAGAAACTTGCATGGTCATTGGACTTTATCATGTGCAAGATATAACAGGGTGTTCCATACCACTAAGTAACCAGAAACCATTGGTGAAATCTGGAAGGGGAAAAGACACATCCAGGGAGTCCAGTATTTCCACACCAGAATGATGTCCACTCAGCCTGTCTCCCATGCTTGCTGTGTCCTGAATTACTCATACGCTTTGCAGAGTGACTCTCAGCCCTTGTATATGGCTCCCCCCAGACTGATTCCCACACTTCACACAGTGACTCCCCCTCCCTGTCTTGCAGACTGACTCCCACCTCTTGTGTAGTAACCACCCACCCCTTTGCAGACTGACTCCCACTCCTTTTGTATGCCATTGTATACTGAGCCTCTGGTGTGACCATGGGGACCACATGACTTAGTAATTATGCCTGGATTTCTCCATGCCAGTGTTAGACCTCACAAGCAGGCTCTATGTGTCCGTTTGAACAGACACTCCAGGTTGTGATATGCTCTGAAATCATTAGAATACAAAAGTGGGAAGGAAGGCCCGGTGTGATGTTTCAACAGGCTGATCCTCTCCTGGCAAGAGTTGGGATCCCACATGCAGGGAGCTGCTGCATTACCCCTCCAGCTCCCTGCTTATGGCCTGGGAAAATAGCAGAGGAGGGCCAAAGCATTGGGATTTTGCAGCTGTGTGGGAGACTCAGAAGCTCCTATTCCTGGCTTCAGAACAGCTCAGCTCTAACCATTGTGGCCATTTGGAGAGTGAATCAGCGGATGGAAGCTCTTCCTCTCTGTCTTTCCTTCTCTCTTCAAATCTGCCTTCCCAATAAAAATAAATAGATTTTGAAAAAATGGAAAGGAAATTATGTTTATCACTTTGCTTAGTCTCTTTCCCTTTCTTGCAGTCTGTGTGAGAAAATCTAGATTCTGTTTTCAGAGTAATGGGGCCACCAGGGCAGGAAGGAACTGAAACAGTCAGAGCAAACCATGCCCTTGTGCAGGAGCCTCACAAATGTCACGCAGGAACAAGCCCAGAGCTAAAACTGGTCTCTGCAGACACCTGCTCCCTCTTTCCAGCGCTGCCAAGCTCTCCCTAGTGGAGCCCAAGCGTGGGCTCCCTTCTTCTAGACACTGGGCAGCTAGCATCAAAGTTTCCTGGGTGGGCACTTGGCCAAAATCAAAGATAACTATTGATGGTGTGCAAGGCCCTTTGACCCCAGCTGTCACAAAGCCCAGACCCACCCCTACCACGCCCTGCTTCTGTTACTCAATCTCTTGAGGCTGCTGGGAGCCTGGGGAGGCCCTTTGTCCTCTGTCAGTGTCTCCTGGCAGAGAGGAGGCCACAGCAGATGATTCAAGACCTGGCTCTCTGAGGAACCTCCCTCTAACACGGCTGCTTGGACACATCTCTGAACTGGACCATGATGCTGGCAGTGGGATGGGTCACCCTCTTCCTGCTGGGGCTCTGTGTGCTTCCTGCCGGCCTGTGCTCCCCTGGCCGTCCCACGTGGCACTACACTGAATCTGAGGTGGTGATTCCTAGGAAGGAGATGCACCCTGGCAAAGGTGTTGAGCTGTCAGGCTGGGTCTTCTACAGCCTGCACTTTGGGGGCCAAAGACACGTCATCCACCTTCGGAGCAAGAAGCTTATTTGGCCCAGACACCTGCTAATGATGACCCAGGATGACCAAGGAGCCTTGCAGATGGACTACCCTTACATTCCAACGGACTGTTACTACTTTGGCTACTTGGAGGACATCCCTCTGTCCACTGTCACCATTGACGCGTGCTATGGAGGCTTGTCAGGTATCATGAAGTTGGATGACCTCACCTATGAAATCAAACCCCTCCAGGACTCGCACACATTTGAACACGTTGTTTCTCAGATAGTGGCCGACTATAACACTACAGGACCAACCCCATACAGACAGGAACAAAACAAAGACTCAGACCTCTTGCTCTCTGAGGCAAACCGCCTAAGAGCTCCCAGGTTCTCATTTAGGGGGTATCCTGTCCATCCAATCCGTTTCAAGATTCACATTCAGATTACTCATGGCATGTTTCGGGTGCTCAACAGTAATATGTCAAGAACTGTGGAATTTGTGCTGCGTACATTCAATATTCTTGACGGCCTTCTCAAAACAATTCATAGTGGAGTTTATATTACTGCTCTAAACATATATAATATACAAGAACCAGTGATACCTTTCAGTGATTTTACAGTCCCAGGAGGTCCAGTCCACCTTTATTATCGTTATCTTCAGTTTGAAATGTTCCGTCCGGATATATCCACATGGATGACACCACATGACCCCGAGAACATGGTAGATCAAGTCTTCGTTTAATGAGTATGCGGCGTCACTAGCACCTTATGTTTATTTCCTACCGAGGCCGACATTACCTACAATTAGCTATTGTGAGTGCCCAGGGCCATGGGAGATTCATGGGTTTGCATTTTGATTCTATTTATTGTGCATGCAATAGAAGAACCACCTGTTTAATGCACCAATCCTTCCAATTGACAGATTCCTTCAGCAACTGTTCCTTCACATGCTAAATTATGCAATTGGGTATTACACATCCGTGCTTTTATTTCTGGACTATACCTACTACAATAAAACCCTGCTACAGGATCGCTGTGGCAACTACGAGGTGGAAGGAAACGAGCAATGTGACTGCGGCTCCTTTAAGCAGTGTTATGCCAATCCATGTTGTCAAAATGACTGTCGGTTCTCACCTGGAAGTGTTTGTAATAAAGAAAAATGCTGCACAAACTGCACCTACTCCCCTTCTGGAACTCTCTGCAGACCCATCATGAACACATGTGACCTTCCAGAATACTGCACCGGGTCCGCATTCACGTGCCCTGATGATTTTTATGTTCAAGATGGAACACCGTGCACTGAGGAGGGCTACTGCTACCACGGGAACTGCAGTGACCCCAATATGCACTGCAAAGAGATCTTTGGCGAAGGTGCACATAATGGTCATGACAGCTGCTATGACGTGAACACCATAGGGTTCCGATTTGGCTTTTGTTCTAGACATTATCCGGCACTCTACATGGTGCGTGTACTCCGCTGCACAAGAAGTGTGGGAGGCTGCAGTGCACCAATGTCAGCACTGTCCCCAAGCTGCAGGATCATGTTTCCTTCCACCAGACTATGTATGATAATGTCTACTGCTTCGGGTTAGATCGACACCGTGCGACAGGAGCCAGTGATGTTGGACACGTGAGAAGTGGCACTCCCTGTGCTGACGGGCTTTTCTGCATCAACTTCCAATGTAATGGGACAATGGCTGAACTGCAGTATGACTGCACCCCTGAGAAGTGCAGCTTCCGAGGAGTTTGCAACAATAGAAAGCACTGCCACTGCCATGTGGGCTGGAGTCCCCCACTGTGCCTCAGTACTGGTCCTGGTGGGAGTTCAGACAGCGGCCCTCCGCCCAGAAGAGTCCGTGAAATAAGAAGCAGCCTGGAACCGATCTACATTTGGAGAGTGATCCTTGGTCGTATTTGTGCTTTAATTTGTGCACTGCTCTTCGGGGTAGCCACAAACGTGCGAACCGTTAAAATTACCACGGTTAAACAACAAGAAATCCCTGAAAAACCTCAACCACAGTAAAGTGGCAGTTGGCCTCCGGACCCCTGTGCAAATGTAGAGACTGTGATGGGAACATCTGTGAGTCAGTGGGAGAAGCTACACTGTTCAGGATCATGTGCCCTGAAGGCTGCAGGGCACACAGGGGTCCTTCCTTCACCCAGGAGGAGATGGGAGGTCTGGATTTGTGTCACCAGTTCGCCCTGGTGGGTGCTGGTGCTCACCTGAAATAAACCTCCAAGACCTCATGCATTGTCTCCCGGGTCCTTCCATCAGCTCTCAGGAGTCCACAGGAGCCTGTCTGTGGAGGAGGAGAGTCAGAACAGCACCAGGTGCAATGCCTGTTGGCTGCCCCAGGATGATGAAAATATCCCTGTGTCCTTGCAGGGCACCTGCTTGACGTTTCCCTAACAGAGTGCCCCTGGGCTCTGTGTTTTCCCTGCTCCTCTTTCCTGAGTCAGAATGGGTTTAGGGCCATGCAGGATGAATCCCATGCAATGTCTGCCAACCACACACAGGAGTGGCTGTGAGCACTGGCACAGAGGATGGGGGCTCCCAGCAGGGACAGCACAGACGCCTCAGGGAGAGGCAGCCTGCTGGCAGGTTTGACTGCCACAACTGCTCTGGTGGGGTGGGAGGCAGCAGATGGCCAGGGTAAGAGGCCTTTGTACTTGGCCTCCTTGGTTGCCAGGCTCATGGTGTGCATGGCTGGGACAGTCTCTCCATGCGCAGTGCAGCTTCACGTGTGGTTTTTCCTCATTACCCTTCGGTGGGGTGAGTCCACCTCCAGTGCCTTCAAATCCCAGATGCCCCATGCCTTGTACCGCCTCTGTCTCACGTCCCACACTCTCGGCCCAGTCTTGTCTTCTGTTTGCCAAATCAATGGTGGACCCAGCCTCTGTCCTGTGCTTGTCTGGTGTCCCCTCAGATGCTGCTTGGGGACATCGATCCTCCTTTTACATCCATGTCCTCAGTCACACACGTTCCTGTGTCGAACCCTAACCCAACCCTAACCCTGAAGGCTGTGCTTGACCTCCCTGCAGACTCATGAGCTGGGAGGTGTATGCCATCTTCATAGTGGGAAGCAGCATCCTGTGCCCAGGAATCTGGGCTGGGTCCTGAGAAGGGCTCCCTCCTGCCTGGACGCTGAGGCTAACCCCAAAGTTCCCTGTAACTGGTTGCCGCCAGATCAGTACCCCTACAGCTACTTCGTGAGGTGGAGTGGAGCCGGTGGCAGGGGCCAGGAGAGCACTGCACAGCAAGAGACCTAGGGCGGTGGGTGAGAGTCAGCAGGGAGCTGGGGCACAGCACGGGGATCTGGAGATGGAGTTTAGAGCACAGTCATAGAGGGACTGCTGGCAGTGGAAGAGTCTGTCCTGACGGGAATGGGGGACCCTTGTTACTGCTGAGACAGCAGCTGACACGGAGCCCAAGAAAACACCTGTTTCCTTTCTGCCAGGAGACACAGGAGGGCACCAGGGAGTCTGGGCAGTGGTGCCCACTCAGGAGATTGGAAAGCAGGACCATGAATAGGAAACAATGAACATCAGCAGTGTGAGTCCCACCCACCACTGAGGGTTCTGCTACCCTAGACACCACAGCAGGTTCCTGCAGTGCAACAACCTTTTTGACAAACTTTCGATGAATCACTGGTGTATGGAAGACATTCCATAGAGAATTAAGTACATGTGACAAATCGAAAGGCCCCACACCATTTCATGGGGAAAGCTGAAGTTGTGTGGATGCAGATTTTCACGGTGGGTTCGCAGAAATGACATTTCTACATCAGTTGATAGATTGTTCAACTATTAAAGAATCCATTATGAGAGATAGATTTGTATCATTGCAGGAAATATTTTGCGGACATTCGGAATTGTTGCACTTACGCTTGTTAATGTAATATTTGTTCCTTTCAGATGATGAAAAAGTTGAGAAACAAATGTGACTATTTGGCCTTAAGCACTTGAGAACCTGTGAATACAGCCTCAGAAACCATTGAAGGAAGGAGGTGGTCTGGATAAACGGTTTCTGGTGAAGATCTTTCACGTAGCAGTGATTCAGCGACAGGGTTGGATCGTGGAGCTGGAGCCAGCAGGACACTGTCCTTAATGACCTGGGCTCCATAAGCCAGATTGCCTGGTCAGCGCTGTCTGGTGGTCTCGGTGGAATGGAGAAAACTCCATCAGAATGTGGGAGAACAAGAGCAGCTCCACATCCAGTATTTTCTAATAATCAGATCACTTCATATATTCTGTGCACTTCTGGCCAAGTGAGTTCTGGGTTAGGGGTGGGGAGTAGATTGAAGCACAAAGGGAATGAGGAAGTCCTGTCAGCAGTTGCAGGAGCCTCATCCTGACCCTCACCTGAGCAGCAGGTTCACAGCCTGACAATGGGGCTTAGACCACATGGAGCTCCACTGTGGTTCAGGATGCAGCAGAGAAAGGGAGCTGTGGGCACACAGCCTGCAGAGGATGATTCTGATCGTCACAGGGAAGAGGACAGGGGTCACACTGTGTCACATGTGTCCAGCTGTGCAGGGAGGAGGTGGACTTGGACACTTCAGGTTTACCAGGTCAGGCTCTGCTCTGCACTGTGTCTGGTTCTGATCTGAATCCTACCTGCCTCAACCAGAGAATCCCACTGAGGGTTCTGCCTGACCCCAACAGGAAGAGACTCCCAGGTGCCTGGGATCCCTCAGGACTCTGACTTCGCTGACTCTAACACAGTCATTTATTCCACATAAAAAGCCTCATGTTTTCAAGTGATGTATCTCCCTATGATACCAAATCGTGTCGTGAACTGTATAGTATATGATGGTGTTGGCATCACTGGTGCAGAACTGTTAATCAGGAGACTGAGGTGAATGGATGCTGAGGTGAGTGGACACTGAGGTGAGGTGGACACTGAGTTGGAAGTGTTACAGATGGCCTTCAGGATCAAGTGTTGTGAACAAACCTAGTTCACCTCAGAGCATCAGAGTTGGGAAGGGCATCTCACTCAGTAGTGATGACACCATTTTGCACAACTGCAGCCCCTGTGGGTTTATATGTGGGAATGTTATTTAAAGTTGGCTTGTCTCATTGTTTTTTTTTTATTATTAATCATAAGATTTTAATCCCATGAGCATGTTTTTTGAGATATTAACAATGATTAGAATATTTACAGAATAGTATTGCAAACATCAAGTACTTACTATAGTTAGACTTATGAACTGTTTTAGTATTTACACACACACAGGTATAAAATAACAGCATCATAAGGGAAGTCTTTTTCTTCCAGCTCCATTCTTTTCCGCTTCCTATTTCCCCAGAGGCAGAAGCTACTATAAATCATGAATCTAACATGTGGGCAGTTTTTAAGTTGTATATTTTTGCATCAGATATTTGTACATTTTTCCTTTCCTGACATTTTCAATTAGTACTTTATTTCTTAAAGTTTAAAGTAATCTAGAAAGAGCTTATTTCATGCGGTCCATAGGTACAATTTCAAGAAGACAATCACACTTCTCTCACCCCGCAGCCCCTCTGCAATAGATTGGTGTTTCTGTAATTTCATATTATCTCCTTCATTGCTTTGTTAGCTGTGACTTTTTATAATAGTTTGATGGTTTCCTAAGAAATTGCAATGTGCATCTTTACATCTTCCAGTCCTTAGAAACCACTCCACAATGTAAAAATCCCATAAGGTAGTTCCACTTATCCAGCTTCTAATCTTTTTTTTTGGTAACATATTAATTTTTAAATTCTGTATACATTGTGTGCCCCACAGCGGATTATTGTTGTTTTATACCATCAAAAATTTTTAAAAAGAGATTTATTTGTTAGACAAAATTACAAAGGAAGAGGAAGCAATAGAAAAGTCACCCATCTTCTGGTTCACTCCTCTGATGGCCACAACAGCCCTGGGTCAGGCCGGAGCCAGGATACAGGATCTGCATCTGGGTCTCCCACATGGGTGGTAGGGACCTAGACACTTGGGGATTGTTCTCTGCTGCTTTTCTTCCTTTCTTTTTAAAAAGAATACTTATTTTATTTTTATTGTAAAGGCAGATATACAGAGATGAGAGACAGAGAGAAACATCCTCCATCCCCTGTTTCATTCCTCAAGCGGCTGCGACAGCTGGAGCTGAGCTGATCTGAAACCATGAGCCAGGAGATTCCTCCAGGTCTTTCAGAGGGGTGCAGGATCCCAAGACTTGGGGCCATCCTTGAGTGCTTTCCCAGGCCACAAGTAGGGAGTTGAATGGGAAGTGGAGCAGCCGGAATTAGAAGCAGTGCCCTCATGGGATTCTGGTGCTTGCCAGGTGAGCACTTTAGGTGCTAGGCTACCGCGCCAGGCCCTCTCTGCTGCTTTTCCCCCAGGAAGAAAGCTGGTTAGGAAGTGGAGCACTAGGGAACCTGCACTGGTGCCCATATGGGGTGTGGAATTGCAGGGCAGCGACCTGACCTGCTTCTGCACAACACCAGCCCTCATGTCTTTTATGAAGTATAAAAAGCAGTCTTATTTTGCCGCATAGTTACCTTTTCACAAGTCTTTGGGATTCTGTTTGTTTCCAAGCAACAATTACCTGCCTTCAACCTGAGAAAGTTATATTTTGCAGCATAAGCTTGCAGATTATGTCAGCCTTGGTGTGAGTGAAATGTGCTTTGCCTTCATTTTGAGAATGTTTTAAGTGGATGAAGGTTGTTGACTTGGCGGCTTTCTTTGAACACTGTGCCGATGCTGTTGAGCCTTGGCTCTGTCCCTCCTGATGAGAGCTGAGCCAGATCTTTTGATGTTATAAATGCATTTATTTTTCTCTCTGGCTGTGTTTTGCATTTCCCCTTCTTCCCTTCCATTTCTCCTCTTTCTCTTCCCTCCTTCCTTTGCCATTAATGCTCCTGGGAGTTGAGATTCTTGAACCTGTAAGTTGATGTTTTGGGAAATATTTTCATTATCCCTTCAGTTATTTCTTCAGTCTCATGTTCTCTCTCTTTTTTATGTTTAACACACGGTAGATATTTGGGCTGTTATCTCATATGCGGAATGTTCCGTTCTAGTGCTTTTTAAAATATTTTTTCCTCTTATGGTTTGGTGTAGATAATTTTTACTGACCTGACTTTGGGTTTACTTTTCTAGACAAAAAAATTAGCAAATCAGTACACTTACCAAAAAAAGAAAAAGAAAACATTTATTTAAGATCTCAAGTAAGGTGATACTACACAGTTGTTCCAAATTGGCAAGCAGAATATGAGCAGCGCACAGAG